CTCTCTTGCCTTACCCTGGGCGGGAGAAGTAATTGGATGATTTTCCCCTGACAAAAAAAAAGCGCGGCCCTTGAACACCCGCTACAACAGAGGAGTTACGTGTGCATTGCCATTGCCAACCTTTAGGCATTTGCAAGGGATTGTGAAAAGGGAGGTATTGGACCTCCGGTAACCTCACTCGGTGAGACATAGCGCTGTGATGGTTGTTTCACACCGGTTTTCAGTAAGGCCGTGGTATCACTCCGGTCGAGCTGACCCATTCGTGCCGAAGCATGGCTCTCCCAAACTTTTTTTTTTTTTTTTTATAATCTACCGTGTGTCCCACTACTGGGCAGAGGCCTCCCCTTTTCCTTCCAAATTTCTCTGTCTAGAGCGATCTCCGGCCAAGTTTGCCCCGCGTACATGATCAGATCGTCACACCAGACTTAACTTGTTTAATTAACATGTACTGTTGATGAAGGCAATTAGTGCTGATTCATTGTACAACAATATCAGGTGAAGATATCAGGACTTATCAAAGATACATACATACGTAGGGGAAATTCGATATTGCAGTCTTTATCGATATCGTTAAAACAAAATTAATTAAGATTGATTTGATTTGATTTATTAGGACTTCGGTTAAAGTGTGATTGAAGCGATATATTTTTTGAACACTACTAACTACTTCTGCGCGGTTTCACTCGCGGCTCGGCTCCATATGATTGTAGCGTGATGTTTCATAGCCGATAGCACTCAGAAACTGTAGCTGTCAATAAGTGAAAGATTATTGGAAATCCAGTTCCAGGGTTCCAAAGATTACCCCTACATACAAACTTACAAATTTTACCTCTTCATAATATTTGTATAAGTAGATAATTTTTAATTAGTATTTTGTTTTGTAGGTTAGTATGATTTGAATTTGAAGTCTTTATTAAGGTTGATTGTATGTTGTTTTAGCTAAAATTATAACCCTAATACTTTAGGATAAATATGAATAACACTTTTGGTCTAGTCAGTTTGGGAGTTTGGTCTTGGGAGTTTGGTCTTGGGAGTTTGGTCTAGTCAGTCCGAACGACTAGCGACCTGCCCCTGTTTTGCTCGGACGCTTAGCCAGTGCCGGTGTCAGTCATTTATTTTGTTAGCGAACCACAACATCACTGAAAGGCTAACGTATTCGGGAACTTCTTCTATACTTTTCTTTTATAAGAACCTTCTTCTAACTATATATATTTTGTTTTATGTAATACATAGGTCGGCAAACGAGCAGACGGATTACGTGATGGTAAGCAATCGGCGCCGCCCATGGACACCCGCAACGGAGGAGTTACGAGTGCGTTGCCGACCTTTTAGGGATTAGGGTTTTGGAGATTAGGGAGGTTAAGGGATTGGGGGAGGGGAAAGATTGGGCCTCTGGTAACCTCACTCACACGGCGAAACACAACGCCGTGGTTGTAATACGAGTAACAATTTGGAAAAAGGATTAACAAAAATGGTCCTTCCATTATTGAGTTTCCACTAAACAGTATAAAACAAAGTCGCATTCTCAGTCCTTTGGGGCTAACCATGACATTCAAAGTAACTTCAGTGTGGGTGAGAGACAGAGCTATACAGCTTGTATAGCTCTTTCTCTTACCCACACTGAAGTAAGATTAAAACAGTCTTATTTTGAATGACATGGTTAAAAGAGGGATGGAAGAGAAGGATTTTATGTATTATTTTAAAACATCCATGAAATCGTGGACAAATTGTGGGAGTGTCAGAGAAAAATGGGATGGGTTGCTAATATTAGGTAGGTACCTATATTAGTATAGTTGAAAACATTTGTGGAGGTCTAGATGCTTCGATCACGTTAGTAAATAGCGTTAAATTAAGGAATTTTAAATATTTAAATAGAGAAACGAAATATTCACGCCACACCAAACCACGATAGGAATGTCTATAGAAAACTAACCTACAACTCACTAATTGATAAGTCTACACGTCAGAGATAAAAGGCTTTTATAATGTACACGCCCAAGTCATAAATACATAATCACAAATACGTATTAAAACAATAACGTTTATCATAAAAATCAAAACAAAAGTAGGTACTGCGCCGGCGCCGATTTTCCTCAAAGGATTAGGCTATTTATGACTAATTGCCACATATATAGCTGAAAAATAACTAAAGACACCCTTTATATATTATGTATAGAGGTGTGTCCTATTAATTTTCTTTTATTACCTAAATGATTGATTGAATTGGTTTGGTCTATTGGCTATGTTCAAAAGCGAGTAGTGGCGGACAGATAACGACCGCAGCGCACAACACGGCAGAAATTGGAAACAAATGCGGACGATCAGCTGTCGATTTTAATTATTATATTCATTTTATAGTAAACCTATTGAATAAATTGCACTTAAATAATGTCTACAATACTATTTTAATCTTTGGTTTTATTTATATTTGCAAAGAAAATTATAATGTTTATAATGATGACATCGCCCATGGACACCCGTAATGGAGGAGTTACGAGTGCGTTGCCGAACTTTTAGGGATTAGGGATATGTGCCGAAGCATGGCTCTCCCACACTTAAAATGCCTACTTCCCACCTTCACATCCTCGATTCATACAATCCTCAACCCGTAACACCCAAAAGTCCAGCAACGCACTCGTAATTCTTTTAGTAGGTACTGCGGTGGTCTATGGGCGCGCCGCATAGGGAATCCGTAATAACGTTTGGAGAACCGTCTCAAAAAAAAAAACATTAAACCAAATTTATTTTTCTTCATAAAATGTTTGTTGATCAACATACATATTAATATGCCTTGAAAATGGTCGCCAACCTTTACAGTACATTCTCGAACCATTGTTGTCTGAATATTTTGTTTTGAATATTTATTTAATTTGCTTAAAATTAAATTGTTCCAATTTAGCATATTGTAGGTTAGTTTGTATGTATGTAAACGTATGTACATTTAAGTAGTTCATTCAACTAAATTTTAATGTAGAATTTTCTTGTAATATTGTTTATTCGTGTATTTAAAATTGTAAAGTATCAACTAATAAATCCAAACTAATATTATAAATGCGAAAGAAGCTCTGTCTGTCTGTCTGTCTTTTCTTCACGCCTTAACTACTGAACCTATTTGTGTGAAATTTGGTATAGAAATACATAGTTTGGAACTCGAGAAAGGACATAGGATAGTTTTTAAACAAAAAATCTGCAGGAATTAACTATTCCACGCCAACAAAGTCGCGGGCAAAAGCTAGTTCTTTCATATATTTGGGCCATTAAGTGCACACAGCAAGTTTTTACACAATAGCTCGAGATTTCAAAATTGTATTTAGTTAATTTTCACAGAAGTCGATTATGGCGCCCATACCAATAAAAATGTAGCTTTTTGCGAGTCATAATGTACTTTCTATGATTATTAAGACACCACTTAATAACATTGAAATAAAAACCACGTCCTGTCGTCCTTTAATTGCTAATTGTAAGTATGAAATGAAATCGCCAATCCGCCTTGAGCAAGACTGACAATTGATGTTCAAACCCTCTCCGTGTGTCAGGAACTTTGCTTAGGAATGGGCACTTACCTTACAAAATATGAAGGAAAACATCGTGAAGAAACTTAGACTTATGATTTTTGATAGCAAGTATGAAATCGCCAATCCGCCTTGAGTAAGCGTGGTATCTGATTAGTGCTGGCACTAGGAACCTCCTCGGTGTGACAAGAGGCCTTTGCTTAGCAGTGCGATTACTTTGGCTCATGATGCTATCTATTAGCCGTGATTCGCGTTTATATGTAGATTTGGTTTGAAAGCTATGTTTGGGATTTGCAGTCAAGTCACATAAAACAATTCGTTTGTTTAAAGTTATTAAATAGTTTATCTTACTTTGTAATGTACACGTATGTTGTTTATGATAATACCTAGTAGGCTTTTTTGTGAGAGGAAAATCATTACATGACTTCTCCCGTCCCGGTGGGAGGGAGTGTCAGACTCTTACTGACTAAAACCCCTCTGTTCCTTCTCCTGCTCTAGGCCGAGGCCGCGATCCCTCATTGCGCTTGCCCCGCAACCCCGGCTGAATTATCGTGTATTCCGATACTCTTTATTGCACAGGGCCAATTGGGACATTGTCTTTTGAAATCTTTATATAACAACCCATTTCTTCAGCTTCTACTAACATATCTATCAAAAGTGGGTGTGTTATATTACGTAGGTATAATTCTTATACATCGTTTGAGGAAAACAAACTTACGTGACATTAAGTAATTATGTTTTTGTAATCTATTATAATGTATGTACATAATAGGGTATGTGCCGTAAATAGTTTGAAGCGCAAATATTTTAACTTTTGATGGATGCCTAGTGTACTTGCCGATGAATAAACAAATTTTGCAACTATTATGCCAACGTTATCTTGAGTGACGTAAAAGAATTGCGTTGCTGAAATATTATATGAACGATTAGGAAGCTGCATTTTGAAGGGCGTGTCAGTCTGTGTGCCGATATAATCTTTATAAGGCTCATTTGAGGGCAATAAAGATATAGCGCGCTCACTGCTGTGACGTGACAATACGGTGACTAACATTTGCAGCGTGACTGTCAGCCGACCTGCACATTATTGGGAGTTGGACTTATTAGTGACCTTTTTCTGCGAAGCAGTTATGACCGCAAAGGAGGAGGCGGAGCGCGTGAAAGAAATATCTTCCTTACGTCTCAGCCGCCGCAGTAGGCGACATTCCGGGTGTCGGGGACGAGAGATGATCTCCAGCCACCGTAAGCGCGGATCTGCGGACGGCGAGTTAGGGTAGCTCGCCGCCCGACCAGAACCAGACCCGAGCGTACAGTGCGTAGCATACCGCGCGCGCCTATAAGAGCCAATAGACCACCACGACCTCGGCCCGGAGTAGGAACGGGGAGGTTTTGTTTAAGGGTCGTGACGTTGAAAGTTTCTTCAAGCGCTCCGCCTCCTTCTTAGCTAGCGATTAATATTATTAACTAACAAACATTCTTATTTATTTCCAGCATCCCTCGCCTACAAGGTGGGCAAGGAGATGATATCCCTAGCAGAAGGCATGCCCAACGAGCAAGTCTTCCCTTTCACACGTCTCTCCATGGACACAAAGTTCTCTAAACTGGTGTTAGAGGGTAAAGACCTCGCTGCGGCGCTGCAGTATGTACCGTCTCAAGGGTAAGTTACTAACTAAGTCTAGAGATGGAGATAGAGATAGAAATAGAGATAGAGATAGAGATAGATATAGAGATAGAGATAGAGATAGAGATAGAGATAGAGATAGAGATAGAGATAGAGATAGAGATAGAGATAGAGATAGAGATAGAGATAGAGATAGAGATAGAGATAGAGATAGAGATAGAGATAGAGATAGAGATAGAGATAGAGATAGAGATAGAGATAGAGATAGATATAGAGATATAGATAGAGATAGAGATAGAGATAGAGATAGAGATAGAGATAGAGATAGAGATAGAGATAGAGATAGAGATAGAGATAGAGATAGAGATAGAGATAGAGATAGAGATAGAGATAGAGATAGAGATAGAGATAGAGATAGAGATAGAGATAGAGATAGAGATAGAGATAGAGATAGAGATAGAGATAGAGATAGAGATAGAGATAGAGATAGAGATAGAGATAGAGATAGAGATAGAGATAGAGATAGAGATAGAGATAGAGATAGAGTGTTATACTTGACACCAAACTATGCCTAGACTCACACATTAACAAAATAGTCAGCAAAGCTTTCCAACTTTTCGGATTTATCATGCGGTCCACCCATGACTTTAAAAAAACCACATCGTATTTATGTTTGTTTAAAGCCCTTGTTCGTTCACAACTGGAGTATGCAGTTTCGGCATGGAATCCTTTCTACAAAAAATATGATGAAATGGTGGAGAATGTTCAGTACAGATTCTTGCGTGCTATGCATTACAGATGCCATAAATCTTACCTACCGTACCCTGTTTTACTCAGTAAATATAAGCTTCTTCCCCTTAGCTCTCGAAGGAAGTACCTTGAAGCGACAGTCTTATACAATATAGTCAGAAACAAATTTAATTGTACAAACCTGAACAACATGATCTGCTATGCTGTACCCAGAACCATCCATAGGCGACAGGTACGCGCAGGTACCCTTTTTGCACTGAACACCTGTCGAAATAATTCAGGCCTGCGTTCACCTATCCGCCGTATGGTTGACACATATAACGTTACCTTTGTTGACATAGATATATTTAATTGCAACATAAATAAGTTCAAAAGCCTCCTTCTCAGTTCCCTATTTAATACTCAAACTACTTTATTACAGTAATTTCTTCCACTATCTGTCTAGTATCTTTAAACATTCTAACTATTTGTTACGCGCACTGTTATCAATGTTCCTAGCGTTTATAACTCGTTTTTTTTTTTAAATTTGTATGCCTACCTGTGGACAGCGTTGTGGGTTACATTATGACCACAACACAAAATTGTTAAACTAGTTGTAAGTCTTTATAATGTATCTGTTTGCTGTTCCTCAAAATAAATAAAATAAAAATAAAATAGAGATAGAGATAGAGATAGAGATAGAGATAGAGATAGAGATAGAGATAGAGATAGAGATAGAGATAGAGATAGAGATAGAGATAGAGATAGAGATAGAGATAGAGATAGAGATAGAGATAGAGATAGAGATAGAGATAGAGATAGAGATAGAGATAGAGATAGAGATAGAGATAGAGATAGAGATAGAGATAGAGATAGAGATAGAGATAGAGATAGAGATAGAGATAGAGATAGAGATAGAGATAGAGATAGAGATAGAGATAGAGATAGAGATAGAGATAGAGATAGAGATAGAGATAGAGATAGAGATAGAGATAGAGATAGAGATAGAGATAGAGATAGAGATAGAGATAGAGATAGAGATGTTTGAAATACTTGTACTTTCTTCTTTCAGTCTCCCAGCCTTACTGTCGGAGCTGCGTAAGTTCCAGTCTGAAGCTCATCGTCCCCCTGAAGTTCCACGAGACGTGCTCGTCACGAACGGAGGACAGCATGGTATCTACCAGTGCGTGGAACTGCTGGTGGAACCTGGTGACCCAGTCATCACATGCGAATACGCCTATACAGGAATACATAGCACTGTTAGTATTGTTCTGTTCAATATTTCTTGTACAAATCACACCATCAGCCTATTATTTAAACGCCTTCTGCTGAGCAAAGTACTCTTCTCGCAAGAAGGATGGTTCAAAACCCGGCAAGTACCAATGTGACTTTTCCGAGTTCTATATATCAACCAATCAATCAATCAAATTCTTTATTTCAAGTAGACCACAACAGGCACTTTTGAACGTCAAGCAAAAAATATATGTGTCAGTCTGTCCGTCTGACCTCTAGTGAAGCTATTTGCTCGTTCCAAAGTGTATACTTTCTAAAATTATTTAGACACACTGATAAACGGTGAAGGTAAACATCATGAGGAAACATTGACATCTAATAATAAATTAGAGACCACCTATCCACCTTAAGGAAGCGTTGAGATTAATGCTCAAACCTTTTCTCTGTGAGAAGAGGCCTTTGTCCAGGAGTGGGCATTTACAAGCTGATGATAATGGTGACGAAGTTCGGAAACCCTAATCATATACGTTATATCCAAACGCAATGAGAAAGAAGTTGAACTAATGTAACAAACTACCACTTACAGCTAAAACCATACCAGGCAGAAATCATAGGTATTCCAGAAGATGAAGACGGAATGATACCAGAAACTTTGGACGCAGTTCTAGGGGAGCGGTTGCGACGAGGGTTGAAGATGCCGAAGATGATGTACATAATCCCTACTGGCAGTAACCCTACTGGCACAGTTCTGCCCGAAGAGAGGCGGCGACAGATCTACGAGCTGGCTTGCAGATACGACTTCCTAATTGTAGAAGATGATCCTTATATGTTCTTGAATTATACTGATGTGAGTATTGCTTATCTTTTCGCGTTTTAAGTGTGGGAGAGCCAAGCTCGGCACAAATGGGTAGGCTCCGGAATGATACCACGGCCTCACAGAAATACGGCGTCTAACAAACGTGTAGCAAACATACGTGTGAGTGAGGTTACCGAAGGCCTTCCCTGCCCTCAATTCCCAAAATCTCCAAATACCTTATCCCTAACAGGTCGACAAAGCTGTCGTAACTCTTCCGTTGTCGTGGGCGTCCATGGGCGGCGCTGATTGCTAACCATCACGTAATCAAAACATTGCACTCAGCTTCAAAAAAGTCACGGTGACAAAAATCTAAATCAGATATGGGCCGAGAAACACTATAAATGGATCTTAATTTACATCTGCATCTTATGTTCTTCAGAGAGAAATATTTTTTTGGACTAAATGCTTTGGTGAATAGGAATGTAATTTTGCTTTCACATTCTCTCTTCATATTCCTTTATTATTTTAAAACTATACATAAACTCTTAAAACTCATGCTTAATATTGATAGCTATTTTCAAGACGCTTTTATTGAAAATCATCAACTTCTCTCATCCTGCTTGGTGCGAGAGGGGATGTTCTCGGCTGATTTAAAACAACCCTGAGCTTCCTTCTGCTCCAGGCTTAACGGAACATTTGATTAAATCCACAGAGACCAATCCCATCATTTCTTTCAATGGACACATGCGGCCGCGTGTTGCGGCTGGACTCTGTGTCGAAGGTAGTAAGTGCTGGTCTGCGAGGCGCCTGGCTGACAGCGCCCAAACCACTACTGCACCGCTTGGAACTACACACGCAAGCTGAACTCTTACATTCCTGCACTCTAGCACAGGTGAGTCCTTAAGAAACTTTATGATCTAGCTCCTCGTTAAGCCCAACCTAATTTAGGTTGATATGCAGGGTGGCATTTTGAACGAGGGACATATTCAATGACCCGATTTTGGTACTCAAATAAAACATATTCATACCAACTAAATAATGTATCAAAGAATCTTTATGTGACACTGATTTAAAAAGAGTAACCATGGAGTTTCTTGCTCGTTCTTCTCCATCGGAATCTACACTTTGGAACGAGCGAATAGCTTCACTAAGAGGACCGACCGACAGACTGACACTTTATATCTTTTAATTTTAAATTTAATTTCACGTTCAAAAGTGCCTGTATGGGTTTAATAGATTTTTTTTTTTTGCCATGCCTCCCTGCAAGAATATTACAGCGCAATGTACCTACTAAAAATAAGTGGAAGCGGCCCAGAACCTTGATTACAAAAAAAACCATTAGTTAGCATTATTATACGTATAAGTGCCTATACATTAAAAAAAATATGAAACGCTGAGGAATTCTCGACTTTAACAGAGTCAAAACTAACCAGTTAATTCTACCCTGATCTTGGCTTGCTAGACCCTTGGTCTGTGATTTTGTACCCACCATCTTCATGATAAGGTAATATGATTTAAATGTGTTCTCCTTCTTTTTGTTCTAGGCTATCCTATTACAATTAGTGCAATGCCGTAAATCCCTTGCATCCCACTTGACAAACGCTCGCGAGTTTTATCGCGAGCGCCGCGACGCTCTCCACGCGGCCCTGAAGCCGGTGGAACATTTAGCACCATATACGATGCCCGATGCCGGACTTTTCTTCTGGTTGCGAGTCAACGGTATCGAAGATGTCTATAACATGGTAAGTTTTGTATTGTCAAAGTTGTATTACCTACAGACTAGCTTCAGCCTGCGGCTTTATCTGCGTGGTATGTTGATGAAAATTTATCATCATACCACGCAGATATGGGTTAACCCAAGGCATCATCTATCCCTATAGGGCTAATGTTCGACCGAGGTTGCGGGGTAAGCGCAATAAGTCACCGCGGCCTCGGCCTTGATCAGGAGAAAGAAAGGGGGGATTTTAGTCAGTAAGAGTCTGACACTCCCTCCTGCCCTATCCTAGGCGAAAGAAGTCATTTGATTGGCCCCTCAAATAAAGGCATCATCTATAAGTACATCGAATTTCAACCAAATCGGTCAAGCCGTTTTTGTGTGAAAGAATAACAAACAAAGTACATCCTTTAGTTTATTCTATAGTTTGTATATTCTCACAAACTTTCACATTTGTTAGTAGGATGTCGTCCTAAACGTCTCTTTGGCTTCTCATTTATGAGGGTTCGAAACCTCTAGCAAGTACGAATGTGAGTTTTTCTAAGTCATGTAGGTACTTATACTTTTAAGTTTATTTTGACACAACTGATAAACTGTGAATAAACACATCGTGAAGAAATCTGGAATATTGATTTTTATTTGATTATAAGTTTAAATTTACCGATTGACGATTTGTTATGAAGATTTTATGTGCTTATCTAATACTAATACAACAAAACGTGTATTTCCAGGTATTCCACACTGCATTTCAACGTGGTCTAATGTTAGTACCGGGGCAAGCGTTCTTATACGACAGTAACGCCCCCTGTCCGTATCTCCGCCTAACATTTAGTAAAATCCGTCACGAGGACATGGACACCGCTGTAAGCAATCTCGTAGAAATAATTCGGGAAGAGCAACAACGCGCTCAACAAAAACCAAAAAGGGTCGCTACTGAAGGATAGATGGCGTTGTTTTGTATTTAACTTTAAGTGCAAAGTTGACCTTATTTAATTTTGTATTTACAACTTTTAATGAAATACTAAGTCAACATTAATAATAAACTAAGAAAATATGAATAAAATTTGTTATTTTTGTAGTAATCTAAGAATTCCATTAACAAGTAATAATAATTATTATTTTGTGTGTGAATACTTGAATATTTAGTTTAGTTATATTAAGTATCATATCTAATAGTATACTTATTGTAATATACAAAACAAAGGGTTATCTTTATTTTGTAATTATAATTTATTCTGTAGGTAATCCGAAATCTTAAATTGGTACATAGTTTTATTTATAATCCGCTAGATGGTGTCTTACTGCTAAAATACTTTGTTGTAAATAATATAATAAAACTATATTTATTTGCCACAAAATGAATTGACTTCCCAGCTTTTTATCATGTGGTAAATGTTTGTTTTTATATATTTTGGTCTCTTATAAAGTTCGTACTAAGTTTTAGCTACTGGCCGCTAGATGGCAGACCAAATGTTATTGTAAAATATATTTAATTACTTTTGTACCTTTATTTAAATATAATGTTATTTAACTTAAATTATATCTCCTATAGTCATATTTCTGATTTAAGAAATAAAAGATTTTTAAATACTTTGTTTTTGCTTTACCATATTGGGTATCACGAAATACTGGACAGAGATGATGGCGCATTTTTTTCATATACCTACTTTCTTACATCGCTTGTATACTTAATCATAAAAAAAAATCCTCTCCTTTTTAAGAATGAAAAACTAACCAATGGGTTCTCTCGTCGTTAAATCCACACAGTTCCTTCTTTGACCACAACCCCAGCTATGGAGTGCGTAGGCCATGGTGCGTAGCGAGAGGAACTGAGAAGCCGTCTCCTCTTTCTGTAAAGCAGTTATGCTCGCAAAGGAGGAGGCGGAGCGTGTGAGGGAGCCATGCTCCTCCTATCGCCCCAGACGCCGCAGTAGACGACACTCCCGGCGTGTGGGATCGAGAGATCACCTGCCACCGTAAGCGCGGGTCAGGCGGGGCCGGCGAGTAAGGGCAGCTCGCCGCCCGACCAGAACCAGGCCTGAGCGTACGGCGCGTAGCGTTCCGCGCAAGCCTAAAGATCCAATAGACCACCACCTACAGCGCTGATGTTCAGACGGAGTTATGGGGCAAGAACAGGAGAAGGAACGGGGCGTTTTTAGTCAGTAAAAGTCTGACACTACCTCCCGCCTTACCCTGGACAGGCTGATTTTGATATTTATTATCGCAATCCCATTTCGACTTAGTCAATCAACGAATGAACGAACGATTTCACCCAATACCCCTTTCTCCATCCCATCCCAATCCTTAAATAACCGAAACCCTGATATCCAAAAGGCCGGCAACGCACTCGTAACTCTTTTGGTGTTGCGTGTGTCTATGGGCGGCACTGATTGCTTACCATCAGGTAATCCGTCGTTTTAAAAAAATATGACTAAAAACTAGTAAAGCTTTTCTCAGTTTATACAGGGTGTCCGGTAAAGATTGGATTACCTTGCAATGCCTTTAAGTATATCTTAAAGCCATTCAGAAAATCTAAGCACATATAAGTTTTATAAGTGAGAAGTGATGTTGAAAAGACCTCTAAGAAAAGCGAAAAGCGACAAATAATAGAATGAACGAATACAGTGTTCTAATGAAAACCGAATGATTGGCAGCCGGTCGTGTAAACATGGTGCACACACACACGCGCACAAAGTTATCAAGCAAGAAAGCAATTCTTGCGCCGGGAGCACATCCCTAATGGTTAATGTTCGACGTTTGATTCTGAACGATCTGTTACACAGAGTAGGCTTCGTAGATAGAGGGTTCATTGCTAATGCAGATGATAAGTTGAGATAATTTCGCAATTGCCGCAGGAATTTGGAGCAAGAGAAGGAACGCGGTCATTCTTAGTCAGTAAGAGTCTGCACTGCCGTCGTTTCTGGTCAGTAAAAGTCTTGACGTGGAAGGTAGAAGTCATTTGACGATTTCTAACCGTAAAAAATATTGGTTAAATGTAATTAATTATGTTTTTAAAGCTTCTTGCTAAGCGTGTTTATTTTATCCATCATCCATGGTGATGATGATGGTAATGTATGTTCTTTTCTCTGTTCACCATTACAGCTTAATCAGCTTGATGGATCTTTTGTACCGACAGTGTAAAGTCGTTAGAAGAGAGAAAAGAGAGAGAGAAAGAGAGAGAGAGAGAGAGAGAGAGAGAGAGAGAGAGATAGAGAGAGAGAGAGAGAGAGAGAGAGAGAGAGAGCTTAAAAGAAACTGCCAATTCTGGGTTTTCCCGAAAATATTCGTAGGCAAAACATTATAGTGCTTTACTTCGATTTAAAAAAACTTAATAAAGCAAAAAAGGATGTGGTACAGTTGCTAGCTTAATCTTTGTTTTGCAATGCGTAACTTTCTGAATGCACGGGAGTGTCTGAAATTTACCATTGTAATGTGCGGGAATGTACGCATGAATGGACTGACCGGACCAGAATGATAACGCCGCCTAACAGAAAACATTGGGAAAAAAATAAGGTGTGTGTAAAGTGTGTTTCCAGTACCTACTCAAATGCTCCAATCTTCATATCCCTAACACTCAAAACGCCGCCAACGTACTTGACTTTTCGGGTATTGCGCATGTCTATTAGGCAGCGCCGATGGCTAATTATCAGGTCATATCTATCCTAAAAAGAAAATGTTCTTATTGTCCACTGACTTTAATATGTATACGGTACAACTGCTTTGATAGGTAATAGATATGACGGCAAACCATGGCTTGTATGTCCCCCGTGACCTGTGGAGCTCTCAGTACTAAATCGATCTCTAAGCAAATATTTAGATTACTGTCTAACTACCTTCTGGCTTTGAGGAAATCTATCCATGTGTGTCTGATGTAGGAACGTATCAAAGAGCCTGTAGAGCAGTCCTTGGCAAGGTCCAATGTCTTTGTGAACGTTATTTGTTTTGATTGTGTTCCTCAAGGAGACCCAAATAGTGTATTTAAAAAAGATTGTTAGGACATATACATTATGTATATGGTGACTGGTGATTAGTGGCCGATTTAAACACGTGATTGTTCTCATGATAACAAACAACTTTTCTTACGAAACTTTTTTCTATACCCATTTATACTAATATTATAAAGAGGTATTTGTAAGTTTGTATGCAGGAGGTAATCTTTGGAACCGCTGGTCGGATTGCCAAAATTCTTTTACTGGTAGATAGCTACAATGTTCCCCAATGCTATGGGCTATGGAGCAGAGCAGCGGGTGAAACCGCGCGAGAGTAGCTAGTTAGTTATATTTTTATTACTACTTGAAACAAAATGTCGCGCGCCCGCCGTACGTCGCTTGCTCAGCTGTTAGCGGCGAGACTTTTGAATTTTGCACAGTAATTTTTTTATAGTCTATACTAATATTATAAAGAGGTAAAATTTTTAAGTTTGTATGTAGGGAATCTTTGGGACCACTGGTCGGTTTGCCAAAATTCTTTCACTGGTGTTCCTGAGTGCTATAAGCTATAAAACATCACACTACGATCATTTGGAGCCAAGCAGCGGGTGAAACCGCGTGATAGTAGCTATTACTTAATAAAAATAAACCTAATGAGTATACCTAGTAGAAAAGTTTCTTTGAGAAAGTTGTGTACAATCGTGTGTATAAATATCGATCACTAATAACGACCAGTCACACTATATACCTACATATGTACTAGGTATCTGTCTCTCGAGTCAGGGTTGCAGGGCAAGCGCAATGAGGCGCACGGCCTAAAGGAGGAGAAGTAACGGGAGGGTTTTAAGTCCGTGGTACGAGTCTGACACTCTCTCCCGCCTTACCCAGGGCGGGAGAAGTTCTTTGATGATTTTCCCATACAAAAAAAAAATATCTGTTTCTTAGGCTGATGTTCAGCCGAGGTTGCGAGGCAAGCGCAATAAGGTACCGCGGCCTCGGCCCAGACCAGGAGAAGGAACGGGAAGTGTCTGACACTCCCTTTCGCTTCACCCTGGAAAGAAAAGGCATTTGATGATTTCCCCCTCGCAAAAAAAGCCTGCAAACCTGCCGAGTGCAAGCGTCCCGACCTGAAGAAGGAACGGGGTCAGGAAGAATGACAGTATCTCCTAGGGCGAGAGAATTAATTTAATGATTTTCCACCCTCAAAAAAGAGGTGTCTGTCTTTTGACTACTCTGTACATTCTTTCTCATTATTAGCGCAAAGAGTTGTTTTATTCCGACGGCGGCGAGTTAGCGCACAATTTCCCATTTACCTCGCCTCATCATCGTTTGCTTTCCAACATTTAGCCTTAACACACTTGGATAAAGCTGGTTTTCTATTAACAAATTTTGATAGGAAAATCATCAGGTTAGATACAGCTAAAATGTATTTTAGGACCGTTATGTAAGATTGAAATTTGTTTGGATGATTAGAGAAGGCTCTTTAAACGTCCGATTGCTCTGAATTAAGGAAATAAGCAGTTTTAATTGCTGAACGATTATTTGAGAGCGATTTCGTGTTTGTCGAGCTTTCGTGTCGCGAAATTAGCTGTTCGTGTATATACTTAAGTGTCATTTTGTTTTGATCGCAGATAACAGAATGATCACTTCTCATTACAGTTAGTTATTATTTCTAATGCAAATGTAAATATCATCCAATTCGTTAATAATTTGTATATTTATATTTATATTTTTTTGTATACATATGATACGGCGGTAATCGATCTGACGGATTACCTGATGAACATTCGTAACACCAGTGGATTTGCAAGTGCTTTGCCGTGGGGATAAGGGGTTTTGGAGATTTATGCATTAGGGACGGGGGAAGAATTGGGCTTCGAATAACCTCACTCATACGGCGAAACACAACGTTCTAGTATTGTGTTTTACACTCCAGTAGAGTCGACCCATTCGTGCCGAAGCATGGCTGTCCCACATTTATTTACTTTTTCCAAACTTAATATTATAATATTAATATTATTGTGACAGAAAACTCTTTGACATGATGACGTCAATGGATGGTTGTCAAACGTTGCCTAGAGATTGTAAATTTCGTCGTGAATTGTCAACACGAGTTGGTGTAATCGGTAAGGCGTGTGGATTACACCACAGAGACCCCGAGTTCGAGTCCCGCCGTAAACATGAAGTTTTTTAGTTGATGGAAGTTTTGTCGAACTTTCTGGAATTATTTGTGTGAAAGAGATGAAAAATTAAAGAGTGAGAAGGAGAATAAATAAAAATGAATAGCGAAATTATTGGAAGGTTCTGGAGGCATGACGATCAAAAAGAATAACGAAATTGAATGTTCCAGAACCTGACCGGGGGTATATAAGCAGAACTGCGGCTCACCGCTGGCAGTTGACTTCTAAGTCTAAAGTGATTCGGAAGAAAAGGAAGAAGTGAAAAAGAAGAAAAGTGAGTGAAATAGTGAAGTGCAGTGAAATAGTGAAGTGCAGTCAGTTAAGTGAGTTAAGTCAGCGTGAACGGCAAAGTTGTGTCAGTCGGCCGGACTCTGCTCAAGGAGAACGCCGATAACTTAACTCCGTGGACGCTGTAACTTAAGTGCAATAGAAAGTCTGAAAACCGGTATTAGTGTTTCATTTCATCCAAT